GGGGATTGAACCGCGGTCCCTGATGCTTTTGCTAAGCTTGTTCTAAGTAGGTGCTTTAGACCACTGAGCCATCTCTCCAGCCCCCTGGATTTTATTTTAAAGGCAAGGTTTCCCTGTGTAATTCTGGCTGGCCTGAACTCCTGCCTTTCCTGCCTTGGCCTCATTGCTGGGGTCACTGGTGTGCGCCACCATGCCCAGCTCCATCTGTTGATGGCTATTTAGGCTGGTTCCACATCTTGGCTATTGTAACTGTGCCATCCAGCAGCAGGGTGGATGCACAGGAATTCCTGTGCTGTGCTGGATTTAATTCATTTGTCTATACCAAGGGATAGTCAGCATAACAGCGTCAAACGGTGGCTCTAGTTTTAGTTTTCTTGAGACAGGGTCTTAACTAGTGCAGTGACCTAGAATACGTGATGCAGGCTGGGTTTGAATTTGCAGTGATCTTTGTCTCTCGGTCTCCCAAGTGCTAAGATTATAGAACGTGTGGTACCATACCTGGCTTTTTTTTTTCTTTTATGAAACCAGGAATTGAACTCAAGACCTTAGATTGCCTGGCAGACACTGCAGCTGAGCTATGTCCTTGGCCTGTCTGGCTCTTTAGTTTTTTGAGGAATTTCAAACTGGTTCCATAGTGGCTGTGCCAATTTACATCCCTGTAACTTTTTTAATTTTAATTTTTATGTATTTGGTCTCACTACACAGCTTAGACTGCTGTTTTTGGCCTCCCCAGCACTGGGATTACAGGCCTGTGCCACCACCCCCTGTCTAGGTGGACAACTTGGTGCACCCCTGGGGGTGGGGCTGGTGTGGCATGTGGTACTGGGATCAAACCCCAGTCCCTGCTCTTAGTCTGCTGAGCTGAGCCCTCCTATTAACCTTGCCTTTTAGTTTTTTCTTTCAACTGGGGATTGAACTCAGGCCAGGCCCCTGCACTTGCCAGGGAAGCTCTCATTCAACTGAGTTATTTCCCCAGCCCTCCTATTAAATTGAACTCAGACCCTTTCTACTGAGCCATCTTCCCGGCCCCCCCGATTAACTTTTTTTTTTTTCCGAAACCGGGGATTGAACTCAGGCCCTTGCGCTTCCCAGGGAAGCGCTTATTCCACTGAGCCATCTCGCTTATTCCACTGAGCTATCTCCCCGGCCCCCTATTAACTTTAAAAACTTTAAAAAAAAAATTATTTATTTTATTTATTTGTGTGTGTGTGTGTGTGTGTGTGTGTGTGGCCAGCTCAGCCCACCTGGGGGCGGGGCTGGCTGGCAGGTGGTGCTGGGGCATTGAACCATGGTCCATGTGCTTTGTTAAGCTTGTTCTAAGGTGCTTTAGACCACTGAGCTATCTCACCAGCCCCCCATTAACTTTTTTAATGTGTTTATTAATTACCCTGAAACCTTGGTGAAGTTTAGTTAAAATCCTGATGGAACCTGAGATTCCGTAGTTTGAGGCTGCTAGTCCATGACTGATGGGTCCTGGACCAAGGGAAGGACTATACTTAGAATGAGCAGGGTACATAATGCACCTGAAATCGGACATACTGTAAATCGGAGAGGGGAGTGTCACGTGCCTCTTAATGCGTCCCATGGCGCCCCCTGGTGGACACTGCACAAGTGCATCCAGCAGCCGGACCCGACC